TTGACCACGAGCCCCCTCTCTTTGGTACGTTCCAAGAATCTCTCCGGAAGCAGCGAGCCCAAGTCCGGATCGGGCATCGCCGACGTGACCGCCTTTTGGTTCTTGCCCGTTGTTGGGTTGCGGACCACCCACAAGAACCGTTGACCGCTCCTCTCAAGCCCCGTCGCTATTTCCTTCAGCTGTTCCACTGAGAACACGCCCAAGCTCCCGAAACACAGGAACACGACGCTCCCTCTCGGCTGCGAGTCCAGCCACGTCAGACACTCAGGCGATCCGCCATCGTCACCTCCCCTGCTCGAGATCAGCGGCCCGATGCTGTAAATCGGTGGAGTGGGCCCGCCGGGCACACAATCGCCGTCCATGGTGGCTCGTATAGCTCTCGGCTCCAGCTTCTCGAAGGTGTTGACTATGATTCCGGCTGAAGTCCGCATCTTCAGGGACGAATCCAAGAAGCCCTTGTAGGCCTCGTCGTAGCGATCCTGCATCGGCTTCACAACATCGGAGGGCGGTATAGGCGGTGTGCCGGGGATATCTATGGGGGCGTCAAAGTCTTTAAAGCTTTTGGCAAACTTGTCGTGAAGAGTCGGGAAGTAGAGGAAGAAGTTAAGGAAGCCGGCGCCGGAAGTGAAGAAGTAGTAGTAGGGAATGTTGAGCTCGCGCGCGACGGTGACGGCAGCGACGCAGAAGCAGTCGATGATGAGGCCGTGAACGACATGATTTTTGGAGATAGTGGTGAGGGCGTGGCGGACGTTGGGGTTGTTGAGGCGGAGGAGCTCGAGGGCGAGGGTCTCGTGGTGGGGGGAAGTGGTAGAGTAGTCCGGGGGAGGGTGGTGGCAGGGAAGTAGTGGAAGGCGATGGAGGGGACAGTGGCGGAGACGGAGGCGATGTAGGCGGTGGTGGAGCCGGCGTCGTATGCTTGGTTGGTGATGAGGATGTGGATGGAGAGGGAAGGGCGGTGGGTGAGGAGGAGCTTGCCAAGCTCCACCATGGAGATGAGGTGGCCGATGGCCGGTGACGGATACAGCACGATTGCTTCCTTCATTGCTTGGGCTTGTTGGTGTTGCTTGAACGGCGTTGAAGCTCTCTGAGACTGAGGGTTTCGTGTGAGATTGCTCTGTTTCTTTTTAGTCCGGTTCCCATTTTATCTCCTCGAGATCGAGATGTTATTAAAGATAGTACCTTTCATTAACAGTGATGGCGCAGTCACCCCCACATATTTTCCCAAGGATGTGAAGAAGATATTGTTACCACACGAACAAATTTTATGCGTGTGCTCTGGAATGCGTGGTCCTTCTTTCTGTAACGGTGCTGTTATGTTAGCCTAGTCTTTCATTATATTATTCGATGCACGAGGGAATGGATGACAAAATCACTTGAAAATTAATTTGTGTGAGGTCAGAGTATTGGCCCAATATTGCCTGAGATATGTAATGTATATTCAAAATTGGATCAGGACCACTGAAGATGATGAGTCTCACCAAATCTGAGCGTTCATGCAATTTGGTATATGTATTAGGTTCATGGGGTACTTGCTCTTAAACATGATGTCCCAATCGAATGATTATTGTACGTTGGTCTAGAAAGAATATTTTATAATATATAGATCATGTATACTATACTCATTTCAATCATTGATAATGGAGGCTTTATGGTGAGACCCATATATAATTAATTGCGATAATACTGCTGGAAGTGTTATAATTTGGACTTCAATTTTGTTTCATTTTTCACTTTGGACTTTAATTTATTTTATGAAAAAATTACATGGGACTCTAATTTATTACACGTAGGATGAATTGCCGAAATAGGCACTTATGTGAATGATTTTTCATCAATGTGATACTTAAGTGATCGAAAAAAAATTATGGTATTCAAATAAGCGTTGTACGAAAGTTATAACACTTATAGGGTCCTTGTTCCTAATTAATTGTTAAGAGGAGATTGATCCACATCATGATATATGACTATATGTGCAATAGCTTCTTATTGGTTTGGGCTCAGATCATTCATTCATTTGATCATTTTGTCATCATATTTTTAGTGCTATATGGATCTGTTACTAATTTTTTTTTTTTTTGGTAAGGGAGATCTGTTACTAATTTTTTTCTAAATGACTTGATAAAATTCTAACTATTTCTCAAGCTAGCATGCTCTACACGACTTTGGAGAGGGCTTTTTAAAAGTATTGATTGGGATGGATTAACCACTCCCCACTCCCCTTTCTTTTGACGGCCGATGGTATTGATTATTGGGGAAATTACCAAAAAAATCTTAAATATATTACAATTGTACCAATTCAGTTTTAAATCTTTCAATTTGACCAATAGTCCTAAACCTTTTGATGATTTGTCAATTTAGTCTTAAAACTTTTGACGATTTGGCAATTGAGTCCTAAATCTTCTGACAATTAGCCAATTTATTCCATTAAGCTAATTTTGGCCAAAAATTGCTAACGTTGCAGTTTACTCAGTGTCGATTGATCTACATGGCACGGTCAATGCTAAGGTGAATAATTTTTTTAAATTTTTCTGAATTTTATTATTATATTTTTTCTTTTGTTCTCTTCTCTTTTTTTTTTCGTAACCCTAGGCAATGAGGTTGCCAGCCAATGCGAGGGCTGGCGACCTGGTTGAGGTGAGGACGCTACGGCCCTCGTCAACCATGGGCGAGGGTTGCAGCTCTTGCCTAGACCAAGTGAGGGCATTGCAACCCTCACTTGAATCTAGGTGAGAGCCCAACACCCTCGCACATGGCCTAGAAAGGTCAACCGGCAAACTTGTCAAAACATGGTTATAAAAAAAAGGGAAAGAAAAAAATTTAAATGTGAACAATTTTTTAAAAATTCTCCATGTGAGTGATTTTTGATCAAAATTTGTCAGAAGAACTAAATTGGCAAATCGTAAAAAATTTTAGGACTGAATTAGCATAATTGAAAGATTTAAGTATTAATTGGCAAATCGTCAAAATGTTATGACTAAATTGGTCCAAATGAAAAGTTTATGAATGAATTGGCACAAATGCAATATGCTTAGAATCCTTTGTATAATTTTCCCAATGGTTCCTAGTCCCAAAGGAAATGGGTTGACAAAGGGCAGCTAAGCCCGTAGGATTTTTATAAGAAACACATAATCGACCTTTCTTAACTTCTAGCATAATAATATCGTAGATCTATGGTTACAAGCACAGTAAAAAAAGCTTGCATGAGGAACACAGCTAATTTGGTTAGGCGAATGTAGCATTCATGCATCGTTAAAGAAAGGATAGCAGGCGGCAGCGATCCCTAATCCTCGACGATGAGGAAAGGCCTAATTATCGTACACGCCATTTCGAGTGCCTCCTTCCCTACTACGGGAGCTTGCATGATCCGACAAGGTCGAAGGGGGAAGTCACAATTTGAGCATTGTACCTTATTTGAAAACACTATAGAGAAAACACTATGTAATTGACTTATTTGAAAACTTAATTCAACACTATCGAATCATTTAATGCAATTCTGTATTTTTAAATGTGATCTGATCTAAGTTATCAATAAAGTTTGGAATTATATGATGATTTATAGTTTTTCTTTGGGGTTGAGGTAGAGTCTAGAGATGCCAAACGTGAATATTCGACACAATCTTTTCTTTCAATTTATTGATTGTACGGACTTTCAAATAATGTTCCCATTCTTTTTGGTGCAACTAATTTTTCTTCAATTTTAGTGTTCCTTTAGATTTCATCATCTTCAAGGCACAAACTTTGAATCAAATAGCATCTCTTCGAAAACATTTATATTGACCAACGCACACGTCGAGTAGAAAAAGAAAATTAAAGGAAATTGTTTATAGAAAGCGCGATTAAAAAATCAATCGTAGTATATTAAGATATGAGTTTATTAATACGTCAATGATAACTATAATGCGATCAAATGTGTAATTTGTAGCGTGATTCTTATATAAATTTCCCTCATCTTTAAGGAAGCTTTTGGATTACTTTTTGACCATTTCAATGATTAATCCGTATGAACCAAAATCATTTGTAAGTTTAAAAGGTAAATATCGTCATCTAAGAATTTCCCAAATGTCATAATCATGAAAGTAACTTTTATTATTGAAAATAGCTATGCATAATTTCATAAGTTTTTCATTTTATTTTTTAACTTAAGTACATCTGTTTTGGGCTATGGATGTACATGATGGTGATTTAAGACTCACACGTTTGCACACACGTGTTCGACAACAACGTTAATGCTGGGGCCCACCCGCAGAGTTAGTCGTTCGATGTAGAACCTTCCAATACGACCACCTGTATGTTTAACATTTTATTGGTCTCTGTCTGTGGCCAAAAGGAAAAAAACAGAACATGTGGTGAGGTGGCCGAGGATGGGTGTTCGACAACAACGTTAATGCTGCGGCCCACCGGCAGAGTTAGTCGTTCGATGTAGAACCCCTTCCAATACGACAACCTGTATGTTTAACATTTTATTGGTCTCTGTCTGTGGCCAAAAGGAAAAAAACAGAACATGTGGTGAGGTGGCCGAGGATGGGTAACTGTTTGTTGTGCCGTAACCCAAATAGCACCGATATTGATAATATATGATACCACATGGCACGTCGATACGTCATTTTTTAAAAAATAAAAATTTTAAAACGTTAAGATATGCTGTATATTAAATATATTTTTATATATATATGATAAATTATCATTTTTATAATTATTTCAATCAAATTAATTTGATTCAAATTCACAAATAAATAAATAGTTAAAAAAAAAGTGTCGGACGAGTGTTGGTGTTCGACACATTCGACACGTGTTCGACACAACACGGAGGTCCCCGGAGAGTGGCCGTGCTTCTTAGGCTGTAACTGCACTGTGAGTTATGTGTTTTATATTACATGCTTTACTACAGTAACAGCACTGCAACCGCGGTACCGAGATTTTGTACTGTTGCGGTCTGCAAAACCACCTCCCGACTCCCCGAGAAGAGAATGGAAATAGGTAATACAGAGGGAGATAATAAATTTGCAAGAAGAGAGATTTTATTTCACCCATAAAAGAAAGGATTTTGTCTGCATGGGAGAGAATCAAAGCACAAGCTACGAGATAATATTCAACCATTGTTCGTAACGCACGTCAATCCGCCATCCTCGAATGTTTCAAACCCAAAAGACTTGCTAAAAAAAAAAACCCAAAAGACGACAAGAAAAATTCATCAGCAGACGGCCGACCGAGAAGACCTACGAAATCCAGCGCATTTCACTCGCGCTTCCACGAATCAATGAGTCCGGCCAACGCCGACTGAGACGACCCGCCGGGGCTTAGAGCAGCCTTAGCTTCTTCCTTCATGTTAAGCGCTCGCTCTCTCACCATCTTGCCCTCCTCACCCTCCATTAGCTCACTGACACGCTTCTCCACCTCCTCCGAACTCACCAACCCGCCCTCTGACTCGTCCACCGGCAGGGCGATCCTCATCTCCTTCACCAGCAACACCCTGTTGTGCCGCTGCTCCGCATAGAGCGGCCACGCCAGCATCGGCATGCCCGCACTCACTGCCTCCAGCACCGAGTTCCACCCGCAGTGAGTCACAAACCCGCCCACTGAGGGGTGGCTCAGCACCGCCACCTGCGGGGCCCATTTCTTGACCACGAGCCCCCTCTCTTTGGTACGTTCCAAGAAACCCTCCGGAAGCAGGGAGCCCAAGTGTGGGTCGGGCATCGCGAACGTGGCTGCCTTCTGTTTCTTGTCCTCTGTTGGGTTACGGACCACCCACAAGAACCGTTGACCGCTCCTCTCCAGCCCCGTCGCTATTTCCTTCAGCTGTTCCACCGAGAACACGCCCAAGCTCCCGAAGCACAGGAACACGACGCTCCCTCTCGGCTGCGAGTCCAGCCACGTCAGACACTCCGGAAATCCGCCGTCGTTTCCTTCCCTGCTCGAGATCAGCGGTCCGATGCAGTAAAGCGGAGGAGTGGACCCGCCAGGCACACACTTGCCGTCCATGATGGCTCGTATCGCTCTTGGCTCGAGCTTCTCGAAGGTGTTGACTATGATCCCGGCTGAAGTCTGCATCTTCAGGGACGAATCCAAGAAGCCCTTGTAGGCCTCGTCATAGCGATCCTGCAACGGTTTCGCAACGTCAGAGGGTGGTATTGGAGGTGTGCCGGGGACATCTATGGGGGCGTCAAAGTCTTTAAAGCTTTTGGCAAACTTGTCGTGAAGAATTGGGACGTAAAGGTAGAAGCTGAGGAAACCAGCACCACTAGTGAAGAAGTAGTAGCAGGGGATGTTGAGCTCACGCACGACTGCGACAGCAGCGACGCAGAAGAAGTCAATGATGAGGCCGTGAACGATGTGGTTTTTGGTGATAGAGGTGAGGGCGCAGTAGACGTTAGGGTTGTTGAGGCGGAGGAGCTCAAGGGCGAGGGTCTCGCGGTTCGGGGAGGTGGTGGAGAAGTCCGGGGGGAGGGTGGTGGCAGGGAAGTAGTGGAAGGCGATGGAGGGGACGGTGGTGGAGACGGAGGCGATGTAGGCGGTGGTGGGGCCGGCGTCGTAAGCTTGGTTGGTGATGAGGATGTGAATGGAAAGGGAAGGGCGGTGGATGAGGAGGAGCTTGCCGAGCTCCACCATGGAGATGAGGTGGCCGATGGCCGGTGACGGATACAGCACGATTGCTTCTTTCATTGCTTGTTTGTTGGTGTTGCTGGAACGACGTTGGTCTTGGTGAGATTGGTTTGTTTACGATTAATCTTCTCGTGATCGAGGTGTTATAAAAAATATTGAACCTAATCATTATATTATTTGATGCGTGAGCGAATGGCTGACGCGTTCGGTTGAAAATCTATTTATGTGAGGTCACACTGTCGGCCCAATATTGCTTGAAAACACGGAGAAATTGATACGAGTGTAATGTACATGCAAAATTGGATGGGTCCCGCTAGCATGACCGCTCCGTCAGTTTTAGGAATGACGGAGCAATAGTGGCCACGAGTTTTTCAATTGAAAGACTGGAAACCAAGCAAATAAGGACGCGAATGACAACTATTCTGTTTTAGAAATAAATTTATGGCTAGTTTTTCTATTTTTGTTTTATGGATGAATTTTGGAGTAAAAATGCGCGTTTGATAACGACACAAAATTTCTGTTCCCGAAAAAAAAAATTATTTGATAACGGCACAAAATTTCTTCCTCTTGGTTAGCCGGCGAGTGGACGGCGGGCAGTTGACGGTGGGCGGCGGACGGTGGCAACGAACAACGGGCGGCGGACGGTGGGGGGAGGCAGCAGCGAACGGCGACGCGACCAGTGCGGAGGACGGCGGCCGGCGGTGGGAGGGGGGCGACGATGGGAGGAGGGCGGCGGGAGGAGGGCGAATGCTGGCAGCGAACGACGAGCGACGAACGGTGAGGGGAGGCGGCAACGGACGGCGACGCGGCCAGTGCGGAGGACGGCGGCTGGAGGCGGCCGGCGTTGGGTAGCGGCGAGAGGCGAGTGACTGCCGGCGGTGGGAGGGGGGTAGCGACGGGAGGCTGGCGGCGGGAGACGGTGGCCGACGGACGGCGGGCGGCGGCCCATAGTGGGCAGCGGCGGGAGGAGGACGGTGGTGGGAGGAGGGTGGCCGGCGGCGGGAGACGGTGGCTGGCAGATGGCGGCCCACGACAGGAGATGGTGAACGGCAGGAGACGACGGCCAGCAAGTGGGCGGCGATGGGTGGGCAACCAGTTAGTAGCGAGGGCGAGCGATGAAAATAATTTTATTTCTCATTTTTATTTCAGAAATATAAAAGTAGAAAATTTTTACTTCTCATTTCTATTCCAAACCTATTTCTGAAATCAAAATTTATTCCAGAAATTAAAAAATAAAATTGCGTTATCAAACGAATTTCTATTCCAAACTTATTTCTGGAACAGAAAAATAAAACAAAATGGTTATTATTCACGGCTTCAAGTCACTCTTTAATTTCATATTTTTTTTAAATAGCTTTCTTCTCGTCCGTTTCTGTCATTTCATCTCCTCAACGATAACTATGGACCATTAAGCCCACCTTTTTGTCTAATAGTTCCACCAATAGATATATTTTCGTGATAGGAATTCACAAAAATTGAAGTCTATAAACCTACAAAGTTGGACTTTTTTAAAAAGCACCAATACATTTCGGTGTAATTTATTCTTTACGTAAGCAGTTCTCAAATCATGATACATAACTATTATTTAAGTTAGACAATTATTCCTGCATAATTTAAAGATTACTTTGTAAAATGAAAAAAAAATCATTGCTTTTGTAAAAGGAAAAATAGACTCTATTCCCCGTGTGCAGTATAAGTTCTTTAATTTATTCATGTAATGCTGACTAGTCAATTTACTTGTGAGTTTCACGTTAAAATTACGACCATGAAGAGATTACAATTATATGTGTTATACATATATATAAATCGATTCATTCATGCAAGTATGACTTTGAAATGGACCATGCTAGTTTGAGATGGTACAAGAGTTACCTATCACCTCAATATTGCGACGTCGCTCAACATCAATTTACATATCCTAACTCCTCCATGTATAATATTTAAATCGAGTAAACTAGCTGACACATTTTCGGTATCATCGTTTCGAAATATTACCGTATTTCATTTGTGTAAAAGTAATCCAATACACTGTCTTTACGTTTATCACTATTACATGACTAACTTCCTGTATGAGTAAGACCATCCAAAGGTGAACTGCGCATTACATTTATCTGAGGAGGAAATTATGTGAAACAATCAGGTAACACGCTACAAAATGAACGGTGAATAATAGCCTGTTATTTGGTTTGATGACAGAGGACGGTTACCAAAGCATTTTCCAAATTGGATTGGGACTATCGAAGATGATTGACCTAACCAAATCTAAGCGTTCACATTCAGTTTGGTATATGTAATAGGCTCATGGAATACTTACTCAAAAACCTGATGTCACAATCGAAAGTATATCATAGGTTGATTTAGAAAAAAAAATTTAGTCTTTGAATCATGTAAAGCAAACTCATTTCAATCGTTGATAATAAAAGCGTTATGGGTGAGAAATGTTAAGGTGATATTATTGATCCACATCAAGATCTATAGACTATATGTGCAATTGATTTGGAATGGGGTTTCACCGGATCGCGGATCCTTCATTCATTTGATCATTTCTTCATCATATTTTTAATGCCATAGGGATATTAAGATCTCTTACTAATATTTTTCTAAATGACTTGATAAAATATCGTAACTATTTCTTAAACTAGCGGAACTCCTACACAACTTTGGAGAGGGCTTTTTAAAAGCATTGATTGTGTTCGATCGACCACTCTCTTTTCTTTTGACAGCTGATGGGGTTGATTATTGGTCCTAAAGGAAATTGGGTTGATAATGAGTACCTAAGCCTGTATGACTTTTTTAAGTAATACAGAATCGACCTTCCTTAACTTTTGGCAAAATAATGTTGTGGCGACCGACCTCCCGCTCTTTTTTGAATACATGCAAAAGGGAGGGGAGCTCGCCTGGTACGTGCTAAGTCTAGGTTCGGGACTTAACTCGGGCTCTCCCAAGCCCATACCATATCGCGACTTAGGATTTAGGTTTTTTTAACATGCAAGTGGTTTATACCAAGGAGTCGCCACTAATCGATTTGGGGTGGGTCGATTAGAAACCCAAATAAGGTGATGGGAGAATCACCCTATTCCTACAAACCAGAGATTAACTGAGTTCGGGGACTTGGTTACACTAGTTGGATAACTAATGCCTTTTCGGTACCTTTTTACTCTGTTCATTTTTTAAAACATTTATCAGGCAATTTGGATTGATTTTAGGACCTTTCTCCTAACATGTGAGGTGATCAAGCGAGTGCATAATCATAAACGATCAGCAGTCAAAATAGACTTGGGTTTTAACCCTAATTAATTCAGATGACATTCAAAACACAACAATTCATGCAATTGTATTTTAATTAAAAACAAGCATAATAATAACAAAACAGTAGTAAAAATAACATGCAAAATACTACTGCACAACCCTATAGGCTTATCTAATTTAAACATGGCAATTTATACAATTATAACAACATGCATAATGATAAAACAATAAATAAAAACATTTAGATATACCACTTAATAAAAAAAAAATTTTAATTTTTTTGATTTTTTTTAAAAAAAAAGTAAATACGGAAGAAGAAAAAAAAAGAAATTTTTTTTTAAAATTTTTTAATTAATTTTTTTTAAATAATAAAATAATAATAAACGGGTCGGGTCGCGGATCCAGACCGGGTTGGAACCGACCTGGGTCAACGGATCCGACCCAGGGCGTTGACCCGGGTTGGATCGGTTGATCCAGGTCGGTCGGAACCGACCCGGGTCAAAGGATCCGACCCGGTCGTTGACCCAAGTCGGGTCAGTTGATCTGGATCGGTAGGACCGAACCGGGTCAACGGATCCGACCCGGTCGTTGACCCGGGTCGGGTCAGCTGAACCGGGTCAAGCCAAACCCGCGTGCGCAGGCGCCGGCGAAGCCGAAAATCGGCCTCTCGCCAGCCGACCCAGACCGGCACCGACCAAAATCCGGCCCCTAGGACCACCACCAAACCTCGCTGCCCACCTGGGTCGCCGTCCGGCCACCGTTCGCCGGCCGGCGACCGAATTAAAAAATGGCCCCATTGAGGCATTTTGTCGAACACCGGGTGTGCGCGACCAAAAATAAGAGATTCCGACCTGTTTCGAGGCCCCTCCGTCCTCGGGAAACCTGTCCTTACCTCTGGCGACGACGCACGGACGGCGGGGGACAGCGGTATGGGCCGGGACTCGCGCGAAACGGCCGGAGCGAGTCCTGGCCAAACCGAGCACAAAAACAGGGGAAAACAGAGGCGGTCGGGACCCGAGGGAAGCTCACCGGTCGATGGCGCGGCTGGAGGCTTTTCGGCTGATCTGCGGTCGACGGCGCGGCTGTGGGAACATGTAGAAGCCCGAATCTCCTCTCTTTCTCTCTTTCTTTTCTCTCTGTTTTTCTCTCAGTTTCTCTCGGTCTCTCTCAGTTCTCTCTTTACTCTGTTTCTCTCTCCAAATGGCCGACCGGGCCTCTCTCTCTCTCTCTCTCCGGCTTTTATAGGCGACGACGACGGTGCCCCCCTGCTCCGTTACGTCTGCGTGACGATGGCCTGCACCGGCCTACTCTATCCCGCGACTTTCGCGGCCATTAGGCCGGTGCAGAGGGGGGGCCGTTCTGACGCCGAAGAAGAGAGGAAGAAGGGGGAGAGGAGGCCTGGTTTTCGGGGAGGACGGGACTGGCCATTAATGCCAGTCCCGTCGGCGTGCTTCGTCGGCCATCGTCTGGCCTGATGGGGACAGCGCGGGGCTGCTCCGCCGCTCGTCGCTTCTGCGTCAGCGGCAGAGGAGAACAGGGGAGAGAAAAGGACCGCTCGGCGCAGGGGGAAAGAAGGAAGGAAAAGAAGGGAGCTGGGCCGGGCCGGGCCGAGCCCAGCTCGCGCTGGGAAAAGAAGAAAAGAAAAAAAGAATGGGCTGGGCCCGTGCGGAAGGAAAAAGGAAAAAAGAAAAGGGCCGAGTTGGCCCGGCCCCGACCCGGCCCAACTCGGAAATTCTTTTTTTTTTTTTTAATTTTTTTAAAACATTCTAATAGACTCTATTAATACAAAATGTACCTAATTTCTATATGCAATGCATTTAAATAGAAATATTTTTTTGTTTTAGGAATTAAAGAAAATTAACTCCTAAATTTTGTG